TCTTTCTTTCTTTCTTTCTTTCTTTCTTTCTTTCTTTCTTTCTTTCTTTCCTTATTTCCTTACTTACTTCCTTCCTTTCTTTCTTTCTTTTTTTCTGTTGTCTGTCTGTCCTTTCTTCTTTCTTTTTCTTTCCTTATTTGGTTTTCCAAAATAGAGTTTCTCTTTAGCCCTGGCTGTCCTGGCACTCACTCTATAGACAAGGCTGGCCTCAAAGTCAGAAACCCACCTGCCTTTGCTGGGATTAAAGGTATACCCAGAGCAGACAGCAGTTTCTTACCAAACTTAAAACATCTCATGTGTACTTAAGTCTACTATCTAGGGAATGTGAGTACTTGGACTGGTTAAAAAGCCTCTAATCATTTTAGTTGCAGCTGGACTTTTCAGTTAGGTGGCTAAGACCATAAAGATGGCCAAAGTTGACTATTTCCAATTTTATTATTAAGGCCAGTTGAAGGTCTGGCCATCAGAGAGTTACTTGATACTTGGGAGGACTCTGGTTCTTCTAATATTACTTTTGGCCGTTGTGCCATTTTTGGGTGAGTTGGGGTTTTTCTGATCCTTCTTTTGGAAGCTTTGAGGACTTTGCCCTCTTTGTGGGATGTGTTCTGCATCTCAGACGAGAGGACAGATGAGTTACCAGAGCTACATGGCCCTCTGAGAGGTGTCTTGTCTTTATTTGGGAAATGTTGACCTTGGATGGCAAGGGTCAAAGTACAGGCTGTGCTTTTAGTTCCCCGTCCACACTGATGTGGAATTGCAGGTGTGGTTACTGAACACCCAGAAGTTTTAGAAAAAATAAGTCATGCTTTAAAATGTAGGTGCCATGTAATACTTACACAAGACAGAGACAAAGAACTAAACAGTTCATAAGTTCCCTCTACAACATACAAACGCTTCTTTGCTAAAACATCTTTCTACCACGTCCTTCTGACATTTTCTTCACCTCCTTTCTGGTTCCCTTTCACTTTATGTCCTTTCTTAATATCGTGTGATATGGTCGCATTAACAAATAATGATACTGTCTCATTTTTTAAAGATTTGAGTTGAAACTACACACTAATGTAATACAATAAATTAAGATTACTTGTCTATACATTGTTAAACTGTAAGGTTTATGTCCGTTGTACATTCCCAACAGACTTCATCACCACTTAGATCTGTCAAGACAAGCTATCAATGTCATTTCTTTGGTACTGCATTGGAGATGTGGCTAGAAAAGAGACAGAAAAACAGCTCTTCCCTTCCAGGGGTGATTTTACTTCTCTCTAGGAATTTCCCAGTCAAATCTTCCCCCATTCTCTCTGCTTCCCACTCCTTTTTCCCTAGCACAGAACTGGCATTTGTCTCCTGGTCCACTGCCCTTCACGGGGGTGCCTTATCCAGACCTGCCTGCAGAACTGCATACATAGGAAACAACCACTGCTCCTCTCAGAAAAAAAAGGCATTATACTTCCCCTCTACCCTACCACTGCTTCCCTGCCGACACGTGACCCAAGTAAAATTGGCTCTCAAACCAAATCCAAATAAAACCCACAAAGTAGTCCTTCATTCTTTACCCTGCAGAAATGCCTTCAGCTGTACCTCTTTCCTGTCCCCTAAGCATCCCCAGGAAGCCACACACCAAAGACAAAAAGCTCTACCCACCCTCATTTCCCCCACCCACCTGCAACACAGTTCTCAGCCTGTCACAATAGGCAAGATGTTCTGGAGGAAAGGGGAGAAGGACCTAAAAGCACTCAGCTGGCAGAATTTTCTCTGTCCTGCACAAGTAAGCTCCCCTAAAAACTTAAGAAAAAAACTACACAAAATAGACTCAAAAACCTCCGCTCTACCCTTTGGCTCTCTCAATGGTCAATGTAATCATATTGCATGTTATTCCAATGTGCTATCGTGTGCTTCCAGCTGTCATGTGTGCTACTAAAGTCTTCATCCAATCTGTCTATATGATTTGTCTGTCATTTTATGTTCAAAGAGCTAAATAAGATTGTATAATATGATTTATGCTGATATTACCACTTCTATCATTTTTAAGATTTGTACCTACAGTATACATGTATAGCCATTGGCATGTGTGTATACACAAACACTTTAAGGTAATTTCGTTTTAAATACTTTATACGAACTCCAGGTGTAGTGGCACACGCCTTTAATCCCAGCACTCCAGAGGCAGGTGGATCTCAGTGAGTTCAAGGCCAGCCTGGCTGACATTAGTGAGTTTCAGGACAGTCAGACGTACATACTGAGAGTCTGTATAAAAAAATAAATAAAATAAAATAAACAAATAAATAAAAATAAAAACTCCACAACTGTAGAAGGCCGCAACCACACTCTCCACCATAGATGGCGCTGCACCGCCAGGTGAGCTAGAAAGCTCACACGTGTTGGTATTTTTCCACTACTCCCAAGGTATCACCTGGGACTGGGAGCAGTTAACCAGTCCAAGAATGACACGTCCAAAGCAGGGTCTGTTTCCTTTATAAGGGATGGGTTCCATCTTATCGGGGTCTCCACCATGTGGCTTATGCTCTAGCTC